TCTTTTTACGTAACGCTTTTGTTTGAAATGAAAAAATCAGTGCCACCAGCGGGATTCGAACCCACGACCTTCGGTTAAATACGCCGCTGATCTACCACTTGAGCTATCGTGACTTCGATCCACTCAGATACCAACTCCCCATCTCAACCTACAACCTTTCGAATTTTCCCGCCTTTTTGCCATTTTTGAAACAGGATTCGATTCTCGGCGACATATGAAGTGGCCACGGGGATCTGTTAGTGAAGTTATACTTCGTTTTACTTATTAAATCCATTATATTTAGTGGTCAATTGACCAAATTTCTTGTTTCACTTAATCTTTTTTTGTAAGGTTTTTGGTTGAAGTGGATCGAAGTCACGATAGCTCAAGTGTTGAGCAGCGGCGTATTTAGCCGAAGGTTGTGGGTTCGAATCCCGCTCGTGGCACTAACATTTTCTATTCAACCAAAAACTTTACATAAAAAATTAATTAATTGAAAAAATTAATTTGGTCAATAGATCACTAAATATAAAGGAATTAATTTTAAAGCTAAATGCATTCAAAAACATTATGAATCATATACGAAGATGGCAGCACTGAAACGTCAAATTATTACAGAAGACATTCAAGCTACTTGGTTAATGAAACTTTTAAACAAATAAAAAATCTGTAGTTTTTAATTTGTTGTTCTAGCGGGGTTGTATTTCTATTACTGAATTGCTTATCCACTCTCTTAACCGCAATGTTCTGTCAGATATTTAAGCAGAATGGTGCTTTACACAAAAAAGTACCTTCATTCCCATTATTTTTTCCTCGGAACACTCCTTTTAATTTGTCCCTGAAGACCCATTCTATCAAATTAAACTGTTACGTTTATTATATTCTATACTGATTCACAAATAGTATAAATATGTAATTTGGTCGTTTCCTTTCATCCTGGTCTGTCTATATTTGCCGTCGTGCTCGGTTTCGGGTTTGTTTGTTATTTTATCAATCATATTCTAAAATTTTAATATTTACCGTTGGGGGTCAATGGGGTGCCGATTCTGTTCGGTTCAAGTTGATCTGTAAGGATCGAGTTTATAGTTCATCACAAAACAGAACACCCAGATAAATCTCAAAATTTAACATAAATACTAACTTATCAAATTTTACATGTATAACACACTGGCACACTGATGGCGATGTTGAAACGCGTCTGACAGGCCAAACCAGCTAAGATAAGCAGACCAGGATGACCGATAAGGAAGAAATTATATCCTAAAATCATGAGATTTTCTGTTTAGGCTGAACCTGTAGTCCGATCATTTCCTGTTTTAACTTTACGGCGACACAAATCTACTTCTGTGTGGTGTTTAGTGACCGTTAGCCAATGATTATTTGGAGATGGTGAGGTGCGGTCTGGTGTGACGTAGGTTTTAGAAAAACATTTTCTTTATCATGCCAACGTTTTGATCTTTATTGAGATCATCTGCAGGGCTCAAAGTGTTTGTTTTCCGTGGCACTCTCAACACGACACACAAGAATGACACAACTACACGCAAAACAAACACTTTGAGCCCAGAAAATGATCTCAATAAAGATCGAAACGTTGGCATGATAAAGAAAATGTTTTTCTAAAACCTACGTCACACCAGACCGCACCTCACCATCTCCAAATAATAAATAATTTAGTTAATAATTATTAATATAATTATTAAAAACAGGTGATTGTGTGTAAATGTTGTTGTTTATTTTGTCGTTTCTTCTGGTTGTCTTTTTGGTCTGCTTGCTATCATGTAGTGGGTGATGCTAGAGACAGGTTCCAACACTGGTGGCGGAGGCGGAGGGGAAGGCGAAGGCGTCCGTGGTGGCGGTGAGGGTGACGGTGTGAACACCACGACTGATTCTTCCTCCGGCGGTGGAGGTCCTTCGCAAGCGTCCTGGATGTCGCACTTTTTCAGCAGGCCGCGGCAAAGTTGGATCATTTCGCCGGACAGGGCGAGTATTAAAAGGTTGTGCGACGCGGCTATGAACTCGCCGTCGATGTACAACTGGGGTATCGTCGTATAGCCCGAAGTGCTGATGAGCTGCTGGGTCAGAGGAGACGAGTTATCGCCTATGTCCACTATCACTTCTGTGTATTCGATTCTACCCATGTCCAATATTTTCTGGATGTCGTGGCAGTGATGGCATCGCTTCTGCGTGAAGAGTACGATCTTGTTTTTGCTCAGGATCTTCTTCAGTGCAGTCTTTTTGCAGCAACAAATGACTTCGCTGAGTGGCATTTTCCGCGAGCCGCCTTCTCACCTCCCGCCACTGCTTGAGTACCGCTCCTGCCCAATTCTAATAGATTCTTGATTAAAAATGTTAAATCATGTGTTCCAAAAATTATATTAAAATTAGATTTTTGTAAATAACAAAACTGTGAATGGTGTCGTTGTTGAGATGCCCAGGAGTAACAATCACTCTCATATTTGTCGTAACCCGAGTACTATTAATGACTGTGGCTACAACATTCTTGAATATGTAGGGTTCCAATCTTCGTAGAGGTATTAGACAGGTGAAAAAAGTAGACTAAATACTGGGTTCACCAAGCTTTCGGCAACTTATAGTGCCATTATCAGGACCTACTTTATTACAAATTCTAAATAAATACACAGTAACATGTAATTAACAATTAATGTAATAAAATAATATGCATACTTTCCCAAAAATGAAGAAAACTACATGGAAAAACTAATTGTTTTCTTCATTCTTGGGAAAGTATGTATATTATTTTATTACCTCTACCTCTACGAAGATTGGAACCCTACATAGATTATCTGCAGGTCGATCAACAAACCTCATATTTTCAGTCTTAAATATTTCGTTTAAAACTGACTTAAGTTTACAAAACAAGTGCAGGAAAGGAAAACGCGGCTTATTTATTTTTCATTGAACACCCCCATTCTCTCACTATCTTGGTGGGTAAATTTCATCCACCCTCAATCTGTTATTATTTTGTTAGCCGTATATTTCCTCTATATATCCCCTCGACTGCTGTTTTTCTTTCTGCCTGTTTCTGTCTGTATATTCCACTATCTAACCCCTTTGGTTGGAAAAGTTGGTATTTTTTTTTTTTTATATATCGTACCAAAAACGTCTTCCGTTCACTTTCTTTTTCCTCACCTTTGCCTTTCAACTATCCAAAATAAAAATAAAGACTTTAATGTCAGTTATATAACTTTCAGATTTCAATAGGGGAAAATACAATAAAAACGAAAAATACAATAAATACTAAAAAAAAAGAAAAATACTAATCAGAGAAACAAAACAGAAAGTATTATAATCAGAAAACAGAAAAACTTTGTAAATGATAATAATATACTTCATAAATTAATTATTCAGAAATCGTGAGATGCGGTCTGGTGTGATGTAGGTTTCAGAAAAACATCCCTCACTGGCACTCTCAACGCGACACGCAAGAATGGCACAATTACACAGAAGACAAACACTTTGAATAAGTAGAAATGTTTTGATTGAATATAAAAAATATGTTTTGCATTGTATAAATTCACTTTTCCACATCCTAAATGTATTTGTTAAATGTTTGTAAATCCCAGGCCCTGAAGATGAACTCAATAAAGATCGAAACGTTGGCACGATAAAGAAAATGTTTTTCTGAAACCTACATCACACCAGACCGCATCTCACAATTTCTAAATAATTATCGATTAACGGTCACTTATCACCACACATTTCATAAACTAATATGGGCACAAAAATAATGTTTCAATGTTTGATAAATAATTCGCAAAAATATTTCATTTCTGTTGTTCTTTAATTTGATATATCGACAAATCCTTAAATAAAATAACAGCGATTTCTTAAATAATTCTTGAATTTTTCTTGGAGATCTCAATTACTCGAAATTGCAGTTTTAAATCTAGCCTTCTTAATCTTAGACCAAAACTGTTTATAAAATTGCATAATTTTTCAACTCTCTACGAAGATATTATATTTAATTTCTTCATGCATTAACAATAAATAGTTGAATATATCATTATTTTTTTTCTTTAGTCCTGTCAGGCTGCTGTGATAAACAAAAATCCCTGAATATTTTTGGCACATACGACAAACAATTTTTATTGCTCAAAAATTCTTCACCTTTGGAAAATATCGTAGAACAAACTTTTTTGACTATTGTGCAAAATATTTTACCATAATTTTTATGTTTCTTTTTTCGCCCCAATACCTGTTACATCTAACGCCGGTATGATTGTGACAAACTGCCGTCAGAAAGGAAACAAACTACGCCCTCATAAAAAATTTTTACTCCATAGAGAAAATATAGATCTTTGAAAATTTCAAAATTATTTTCGCATTTCTTTCTACAATTGATTAATTGTTTTTACATGAAAAATCTATATAACCTATTAAGTTGATTTTAGCATGCCTTATACTAAACTGAGATAGTTTTTATAATTTAAATTTTGTTAGTGAGCCACTAGCAAATTTCACGTCCTACAAGTTGTCCAACAAATGAGTTTTATCATTAATAAAGAAATCATAGTTTTTATTAGTTTAATTATTTTAAAAATACATCAATGTTATGCATTCTATGAGTAGGTTGTAAGCTGGCTCAAAATTTGATTGAACTATGAAATTTTCTTTTGCTTTGCACGATCCCATTGTCTTAAGTGACATTTAAAGAAGAAAAGTAAATGTTAAGATATAGAAGATGTGAGATATAGTTTCATCGGCCATTTTTTGAGATTTTATCCCAAATAAGCCAAATAATAATAATAAAATTAATAAAATAATGGGAAAATGTCTTTCATACATTTCACTCTTTCCTGGCAATTTCGATCCGACATAGCTGCCAGCCAACAGGTTGTACAAATTTGTCTATGTATAAAAGCATAAGTATTAACTAGATTTATCTTATAGCAGTTTTAATTTTTTTTTAAATATTTTAACCATTTTTATTAGGTTTTGTTTTAAATTTTTGCTGTAAAAGAAAAACCGCCCACTATAAAAAATTAAAATTTTCCACTCACTTGAAAAGTATGCTCCAAAAACAGCCGAAACTGCTTCCGTTCGCGACCAATCTTGAATACGAGACGGTCATCGGTGTAAATTTGAAGGGGCCGGATACACTTCACAGGCACAAGTCTATTGTTCTTTCTTGTTCCACTGCCAACGCTTCACTGTTCTCTTGTATGCGTTTCTCGGCCAGAGTGGAAGTGGAAGCTTCTTTTACCTGGCGGCCTCTGCACGACCCCTACCCAACTAGGGACGGATTTGAGACATAATCCCGACCGAAATCCTTGGCCCTCCTGTTTCCTTTTTACATCCGACCAGTCTGGTCTTCTTCCTATTCGAACGGCTGGCCCGCGTGAATAAGCCCTTCCACCTAAGTTTTAGAAAATGCTTCAAATCAGCCAGTACCTGGGTCACACAACGCCACATCTGATATTCAATGATATTTTAAAACAAAAATATGTATAAAATTGATCCAGGATAAAATGCGAATAAAATTTGATATTTTCAATGTTTATAAAGCACTCACACAAATCGTAAATTATTAACATAACAATAAAAACCATTTCATATAACCGATAAAACTTGATGCAATGTTTCATGTAATAGGTTAACATATTTCGCATTATATCATTGTTTTCAAAAAAATACAAATGGACATTTATAATCATTTAAGACATATAAAGAAATTATAAATCATTAAAGTTTTACAAACATGACATCCAAACGAAAATCATCTCATTTAGCCAATCATATATTATACAATGGACCTACTGATTGTTTAACATATTTGACAAGGCATTATTTTTACAATTATATAATTAACATTACACAGCATTTTTAATAATTTAAGACACTTAATAAAAAACTAAGTCATTCACTTTTTGCATACATGATACCATGTCATATTACCTTGGAATATGCCCACTCAATAAAGACATAACCTAGGACACAATGAAAATCCAGAGAAAAGAATTACAGCATTTAGTATACTGGTCCTGCCAAAATGATTATTTTTTACTGCAGGGAATCAGGCATCCATTTTAGATATAATCAATGCATTATTTATTGATTTTAAAAAAATCACTTTCTTGTGTTAAAAAAAATATATATATATATATATGAATACTTTCTTCAATGAAACTTTAATGTAAAATAATACGTAACAAATTCAATTATGTTCATTACATATTTGCTCAGCAATTGGTAATAAACAGAACCAACATTTTTTTTAGACACTATTTAAAAATATATTCATATGTAATTAAACTTTATATTTCATAATAATTTCTCTGAATGCAAAACATTTCCATGGTTACTATCATTAAAAGTGTTTTACTGGTAACTTTTTTATAAAAGTGCTGAAAAAACATTTTTTGCTTTATCGAGCTTTGCTTGAAATTGCTATTGTTATCAATTATTTGATAATCAATTAAGCCTATTTTGACCAACATTCCAAGGACGTGACAACAATTAAAGAAGAGGATAATTATAAAAATTTAGAAACGTTGAAGAAGGGGATAAATATAAGAAAGAGTGAGAACAGTTAAAGAAGAGGATAACAACAAGAACAACTAACATCATCTAAAAAAAGCGGATAATTATTGAAAATGGTTGTTTCCCAATTTTGGTTTATGGTCGGACTTTCTGCTTGGGGAATGTTTTCCTCTTACAAATTTTATAAAAATCACAAAGAAGAACAGGAGGAATTGGAACGTAAGGCAAGGCAGAAAGAACAATATGGAGTACAAATTGACCTTAGCCGAATCCAGACAGTATGTTCAGGAGTATGCATAAGAGCAGATCCAAATGCTGATGTTGAAATGCAGGCAAACCAAATTGAAGAACAAAAGCAAATGCATTACAGAAACCTTGTACATTCCCTGAGCACTGCAATCATGCGAGAAACTTTACAGGATGGGTAAATTGAAATTTAATTTTTGATTTATTTATTTGCCCTTTTTTAATTGATTTTTTGTTTCCATTCTTCTAGCGAAGAACTGGACTGACAGTTCTTGCCATACCCATGGTTTTGATAATTTTACTACACGGATTTGATATATTCATGGATTTGACGAGTTTACTTCATTATTTTTGATTTTTGTGGGCGATGATTTCTGTACATCATCCTACTTTTATTTATGAATTGCAGACAACTAGTACACTTATTTTCATAGCATTGCATTAGATTTAGTTTAGCTGAATCAAAAATACAGTATTTTTTAGTTAAAACATCTTTTTTCTTCATGTTAATACAAAATATCTTAATGAAATAAACCAAGCATTTCAATACAATTTTATAAATTTAATTTAAAGATTAGATAACTTTGTGAAAATTGGTTTTCATCTTGAAAAAAAGAAATAGAAGACAATCTACAAAATGCCTGTACTAAAATGCGCTTCATCCAAACAAACTATGTACGTTCCTTTGACTGAACTATGTTGAAGTCTGTCATGAGAAACCAGAGAGATCAGCACAAACCCTTTCTTATATGAGGCACTAGCCACCAATTTTCACACTAAGAGAATTACGTTAAGAGGCGCCGAGGAAAGTGTTTAGTTTTGTGGGATTAAACGTCCTTTCCATGGTCATATTATACTATATTTCTTAGTATGTGATGTTTTTTTACATTTTCCTCAATTTTTTTTTATAAGGTGAAAACAAATTTCTTATCATTATCATCAGTCATAATTATCCTCTTTTTAAGCTGTTGTCACCTTCTTATAATTATTCACTTCTTTAATTGGTGTCTAACTGTGTGTTCAATTTATCTTTCTTGTTATTAACCTCTTATTTAATTGTTGTAACATTCTTTGTGTAAATAATTAATAACCATCAACCATCATCGTAGAAGCTTGATAAAGGAAGAAAATGTCATTCAGCAATTTTATATCAACAATAAAACAGTTTTAATAATAGTCACCATGGAAAAGAGGAGTGCACTGCTGTGTCCACTGTTGTGGAACAAAATAAGCATTACCCCTCTTATGTTAAGATAACCTAGTCATTGTAGATTTTGCAATTTGTGTTTTGTCTCTCCTTATCTAATATTCTGCTTAAATGACTCCTTCACTTGACCCTTTGGTTAGTTACTTAGTGTCTTTGAAGAATGTTATGGCTTCATATTTTAGAGTGAGTGCTTTTAAGATTAGTTCCCTTCTTCTTAAAAAGAGGAGAGATGTTTTCTTAGAGTTGGTATCCCAACTATTTTTGTCACACTATCTTTCTAAAATTTTGGGCGTTTTGCATCTGATTCAGGGGAATATCATCAAATTATACTTTATGGTTGTTAGCAAGTCATCTGCATGGTATATGGTATCCTAATGGTGCTTTGTGATTAGGTCATCAACTATTAACAACTACAGAAGTGGCAATAGTACACCATCCTCAAGGTAGGTGATTTCTGTACAATGTGATGACCAAGTTCAGTGCTTATTGTCCAACCTTTTATCTTGAAAAAAAAAAATCTCAGTAGTCAGAGGTCCGAGGTACTATAAGGATGGATCTTCACTGGAAGTGTATTCACGCGACGAGAAAATAGAGGTGACAAGTCGCCGAAATCCAATGGTGGAAATACTCCGAACCGCATTGCCTTATGGATATCAACAAAATAATTATATCTGCGGAGGCAAGGGGTCTTCTTTGTTACCAAAAATCCATGTTTTATAGTTGATGTAATATTGGGAGGAATCACACAAATCTTTCTTCAAGTGAGACCACTCTCCCAATTCTTTCCACAATATCACAAAAATATTATTGACCCACTCTGCTCTTCTTTTGGATGATTTTTATCTCATTAGTGAAGGGGAATCAAGCACAAAGTTGATGAATTCACGTGGAAGGGGCATGATTATTGTACTTTCTAAAAAACAACAAGCCAAGTGCTACTTGCGGACTGCTGACTGCATGAAACTCCTTTCAGTGGAAATGGACTTGTTGTAGTGATCACAATGCTTAGAAGATTCCACACTCATCACATGAACATTTTGCACCCTAATACACTTCTAGTGTAGATCCAGCCTTATTCCAAACCATGCCTGTAATTCTATGTAACTCAATTAGTCTGAAATTCCTGGTAGAATTGGTTGTACAGGTTATCATGTACAGGTTATCATGAGCAGGAGAAGGATCGCACCTGGAAGCTCTCAAGGCAACAGTGAAGCCAAGGAGGCTGTGGCAGCTCTTTTTTTTAGTCAATAAATGTTTTCTTTAAAATAATTTTTAATAATCAATATAATACTAATTACAGTGGTTTTTAAAATGAAAATTAAAACAGAAGTATTTCTGGAAAAATGAGTAAATGAAAATAAATACACAAATGGATTATTTTACAATGTAAGATTATTGATTATATAATAATTAATAATAGGTTATTATGTAATCAGAACAATATAAGAAAGCATTATAAATTATGGAATATAGTACGTAAATAAACCTGATCTACATCTGAACTTAAATGATCAGTGGCAAATATATGAACCGTTAGTATTGGTACAGTTGTTTTTGCAAGGTGGGCTCTGAAGATCGGTCTGCAGGCACTCATCGACGTCAACACAGTTCTTCCAATCTGCCGAAAGAACGAATCCTTGTGGGCAAGCACAGAAAGCCCCCAGACGGGTGTTGATACACATGTGACTGCACTGCTCCTTCGCACAGGAGTCCACTACCTTGCAGCTTATGCCATCTTCAGACAGTTCCGTTCCTAAAAGATAACAGCAGATTTTAAAATTGTAGATTTTTTTATTTTTTCCATTGTGACAATCAAACCTGGAATGGATTGACAGCCACAGCTGAAGCTCCCCCATTTGTTGTAGCACTCCCCTTGACAAGGTCCATGCCCATTTCGAAGTATACATTCATTAATATCTTTAAAAAATAGTCATCAATTAATTTTATCCACTAACCTCTAATCAATGACAAATAATTACCAAGTATAATAATTGACCAAGTGCCTAAATTAACCGATGGTAATAAAAAGTAGGCTGAACGAGGTGCACCAATATATTGATAATCACTTTTCCAAGTGAATTTTAACAAATTTGGTCAGATATCAATGAACATTACACAAAAGCTTATCTAAGATATATTGACCTGAGATATACTTGGCCATAGAGTATCACGGCTAAATAGTAATTGTTGTAAGAGGCTGAAGGCAGCTAAGCCTGAGACATTTCAACCTCCAGACATAACCACTTCCATTTGGCCCTCTGATGGTAGATATGACATTAAAAACATGAATTAACAAAGAAAAAGAAATGGAAGCGCAACGTAGATTGTTCGACTTGTCCCACATAATTGACGGGTGTCATTCCTTGGCTCCATGTTGATAATGACTGCCACCTGATAAAATTGTGCAGTAAGGATTTATGCTGCTGATCCAAATTTCGAAGGAAACAGGACTGTTTTATTGAATAGCATCCAGACTAAGTACAAGGTATTGTAAGCCGGTCCCTATCTTAGCAATAAGTTTACATTGTTAAAATAAGAACAAAATAGGGTAAACGATGAAAAGGGACAAAGGTTGTACTCTGAAGGGGCGACCACCCAGATGGGAACGACGTGAAAAATCTGGCAAATGTAGCTTGGAAATGGTTACCCAGGTAGCCAGTTAGGTAAGAACATCGAAGTGTGTGGCACACCCAAGCTGGACCCACGTTTTGTTTCCAACGAACCTGGAGAACATAAAATAGCAATAGCTAGACCGCCGTCTTTGCCGGCCCTCCCGTGGCGTGAGAACTCCCCCGACTTTTGAGTTTCTTTTCCACCCCTACTCCGGGAGAGACCTGGTATAAAAGGGATGACTGGAAAATCAAAAGTCAGTCAAGATACAAGACTCACCCCAGGCAGTCAAAAACCAAGACTCACCCCAGGCAGTCAAAAACCAAGACTCACCCCAGGCAGTCAAGACCAGGGACTCTCTCAGGAGTCACCTCGGAAGACTTGCCTGTGTCGAAATCCAAGACTCACCCCAGTCAGTCAAAATCAAAGACTCACTCCAGGCAGTCAAGACCAAGGACCGGGAGGAGAAGCAGCCACACTCCATCTGGGATTCAACAAGAGGACTCAGCCAGCCAGAGCCAGCGAGGATCAGCCATTGCGACCAATCGAGCCAAGTAAGAGGTCAAGAGAAGAGGTGCTGTGGACACTGATCGTGGCAAGCATCGTTTGGGGTAGGGATGATAGACTCATCCCAGGTTTAGAGTTGTGGCTGACTTGTAGATTAATTAGATTCTGTGGTTTGGGTACCATTAAGAGAAGGAATTGTGTAAAATAAATGTTACTGAATATGCTCTCTGGTTTATTGAATTCTGGAACCTTACCTTCCCCTACACAAGAATAAGTAGCGATGCGCTTACACCGACTAATCTCTTGTCGCTTATCCGAAAAGCAAGCGAATATCGAGAGATAATTCGACCGCCGTGCCGTCGTCCGCTTACAGTATCATAGCATCATGTACAAGGCAGAGTATCAGCGGAGGAGAAGGTACATAGCATCCAGAATACAGTGCTTGAGAAGATCAAGGTGAAGTTTCAAGTATTCAATCAACCTCGTTAGATAGTGGTACTCCACTACTTGAACGAATTGCATGTAAATAGGAGTGTGTGTGTGTGTGTTTGTGTGAGTCTAGGTATAAAAACAACCTGTGTTCAGAGCTGAAGCGACCAGGCATAAGTTGTTGACACCTCCAGGAGCTAACTTTCAGAGGTGAGGCTTCTAAGACCAAGGTCTGACCCTGATCTACTGAAACCCAAATTAGGTGATTTTTGAAGCAAGTAATAAGCTCACGCTCTATCTAAACTGACTAAATCACTACTTTTTCTGTGATCAATACATTCATCTCACAGGCATATCCTTGTGTACTGGCATCAAAACTTATGCACAGAGAATGTATAAAAATTAAGCCTTCTGGATGTGAAGAAAAAAAGAAGAATCTGTGCAAATTCTCAAACATGTAGATGACTTTAGTACTACTTTTAGTACTACTAAATAAGTCAGATCTACAAGAGCAATGCTGAACACTGGCTTCCAGACAACACCTTTTGTACAATAAACAAATATAATTTAAAAATTGAACTCTCCTTGTTAGTTAGAACTATCCTTTGATCCAATTACTAATGAGTAATTTTAAAAAAATGTACATATTTCATAGATGTCAAATGCCATCTCAAATAGATTTTCATTGGAACCAAATTAATACAAGCCAGCAAGAAGACATAAACTATCTTCTCTAATAAGACTTGTAAGACTTATTTTGACAAGCTTTTGCAAGTAGAATTATGATAGTTGAAGTTCACAGGCATTAAATAAAAAAAAGTACTTTTCAAATTTCAAACTTATAAAATTAATTTTATACATAAACCTAATACCTTTGCAATTTTTAGTATAAGGATCCAAGCGAAATCCTTCAGGACAGTGACATTTATAGGACCCGATTGTATTTATGCAAAGTCCTTCACAGCCGCCATTGTCCACAAGGCATTCATTATAATCTTAAAACAAAAGAAGTCATTAGAACGATTAAACAATTAAATTTAAACATGAGCACCTACCAGCTGTAAAGTTTCGCTTTGTAACTTTGTTGTACTTTAATTCGAATGTCGGCAAGTCTTTGAAGGTCCTCGGTTCAATTGGTTGCCTCTGATGGTTATCATCGTGTTGCCCTTTTTCTGTTTCTTCTTTCAATTTAAAGTGTAATTTATTTGATACGGTGTTCGTGTGTATAGTCACGTTGTTGAACATGGATTTCTTCTTTTTACTCTTTCTTTTGTCTCTTTTCTTCTTGCCTTTTCTCCTGTGCGCTTGCTGGTTTTTGTTTTGCCGATTGCTCGAGTCATTTTTATGCAATTCTGACTGAATCAAGTGTTTTCGGCTTAGGCTCCATTCCTCGTAGCTCTGCCATGGCCACCATACACTTTGGTCAGGTTGAATCTTCCCCTTATGCCTATTTTTTATTGGTTGAACTTTACCTGGCACATGTTTTAATCAATTGAAATACATCTTTAATAGATTTCACTACTATTTCTAAATTTGTGAAATAATGAAACTTGTCTGACAGATCAATAATCAGGAACCATTAAATTGCAACTAAAAAATTATTTTCTATATTTCAGTCCATTCTGATCGGTGTACTTTCTTCAATGAAAGTTTAATGTAAAATAATGTACAACAAATGCAATTATGTTCATTAAATATTTATTCAACAATGAGTAATAAACAGAACCAACATTTTTCTAGACATTATTTAAATATATATCCATATGTAATTAAACTTTATATTTCATAACAATTCCTCTAAATACAAAACATTTCCATGGTGACTATTATTAAAAGTGTTCTACTGGTAACTTTGATATAAAAGTGCTGAAAAACAATTTCTGCTTTATCGAGCTACTACGTTCATTTTTAATAATTATTTGATACTCAATTGAGCCTATTTTGACTAACATTCCAAGGACGTGACAATAATTAAAGAAGAGGATAATTATAAAAGTTGAGAAAAGTTAAAGAAGAGGATAACAACAAGAACAACTAACATCATCTAAAAAAGCGGATAATTATTGAAAATGGTTGTTTCCCAATTTTGGTTTATGGTCGGACTTTCTGCTTGGGGAATGTTTTCTTCTTACAAATTTTATAAAAATCACAAAGAAGAACAGGAGGAATTGGAACGTAAGGCAAAGCAGAAAGAACAATATGGAGTACAAATTGACCTTAGCCGAATCCAGACAGTATGTTCAGGAGTATGCATAAGAGCAGATCCAAATGCTGATGTTGAAATGCAGGCAAACCAAATTGAAGAACAAAAGCAAATGCATTACAGAAACCTTGTACATTCCCTGAGCACTGCAATCATGCGAGAAACTTTACAGGATGGGTAAATTGAAATTTAATTTTTGATTTATTTATTTGCCCTTTTTTAATTGATTTTTTGTTTCCATTCTTCTAGCGAAGAACTGGACTGACAGTTCTTGCCATACCCATGGTTTTGATAATTTTACTACACGGATTTGATATATTCATGGATTTGACGATTCATTGATCATTATTTTTGATTTTTGTGGGCGATGATTTATGTACATCATCCTACTTTTATTTATGATTTGTAGACAACTAGAACACTTATTTTCATAGCATTGTATTAGATTTAATTTAGCTGAATAGAAATATAGTATTTTTTATATAAAAAAGTTTATTTCTTCATATTAAAGCAAAATATCTAATTGTTAATGATATAAAGCAATAGCGTCTCCATATTATTACAGTTTTATAAATTTAAGTTAAAGATATTCATACAATAGTTAGGTTTTTGAAAATCCATTGTAATCTTGAAAAAAAAACAACCACATACTAACAAATATGAACATGGAAAATGTGCTTCATCGTACAAAACTAGGCACTTTCCTCAGTGCCTCTTAGTTTGAAAATTGCGTAGCCAAAGGGTGTAATCAGGCTATTAATGCCTCACATTCACAATGGATTTGTCCTGATGTCTCTAGTTCCTGTTGGCAGAATCAACGTGTTTCTACTCTGCTTTCTCTTTAAAAGTTAGATGGTCGTTAAGAGTGCCTATGATCTTCCTCCAATTTCCTCCTTTAGTTTCTACTTTTACAACTCTGTCGCCAACAGTTCGATCGTATGAACTTCAGCTTGGATGATAGTTGAACCAGTTCAAAATTTTTTTATGCACCTCAGACTTACGGCTGCCTTCCTTCCATTTTCTCTCTTATCTATGACCACTTAGAAGGATCTGTAAAAGTTGAGTTTTCCTCGGAATAAGGAGGAATAGCTATCTCATTTATTTTAATTCATTCCTTAATTTTGAGATTTTTTTTATCTGGTTTTATGTTTTGTATCCGATGAGTCTGTCTTTGAAAACCACCTTTTTGTATGGCCTTTCTTGTAAATGTGGGAAACTGTACCCGATTAAAGAAGAAGCCATCACAAAATATTAGAGAATTAAAATAAATGGGGTGGCCATTTACTCATATGAGGAAAATTAACTTTTGCAGTCCTTTGCAAGTGTTCATAGATAGCACAGATCTTTGGAAGCAAGGCAGCTCAATAAGGCAGAAAATGTAGTTCAACACTTTTCTACCAAGTTATCAATAAGACAGTTTTAATAATAGTCACCATGATAGAGTGCTGTTTCCATCACGGTTGTGAAACAAAGTATGCGTCACCACTGGTAAGACCCTAGCCGTTTTAGATCTTAGAATTGGTTGTTCTCTCCATTTTAGTATTTTTTTCAGTGTATAGTATTTTTTTAATCATTTTTAGTCAGAAGGCAGAGGTAATACTAATCCAAGCTATGTCCGTCCATGTAACTGAAATTCCTGGTAGAGATCAAACCACAAGAATTTAATTTGAATTGACATTAATTAAATAGATTATTAACTAAAAAAATGAGATATGTTAAGGAACCAAAATGCTTTATTTTATTTTTTTAGTTCTATATTAAAAATTGTGGCAGTCACCCTAACCCTCAGGAGAACAGTCGCAACGTCATCAGTATAAAATGCCAGTTGACAAAATTTAGGTTTCAACAGTGCGTTTAGAAAAATGAAAAACTGCAGGACTCAGAATCAAACCTTGAGGTAGCTCTTTTTTAATCTGGATTTAATAAAGGGAATTATGTTAGGCAACATAGCAAGATCTCCTTTGTAAGTAGGAGCACATTTCTACTCACTGGGCTGGTCACACGTGTTTTGACATTCCACCATCTGACAGACCAACCCTGTGAGGATATAAGGATCCAATGACAAGTCAATCACCCTGCAGATTACTGGAGGATATCTCACAAATTAAAGATGAACTAAAAGTAACTAAAAAAATTAAACTGTTAAAACTGTTTAATTAAACTGTTTACTTAATCAAATTAAATGGTTTAATTAAAAATTAAATTTCCTCGTACAAAAGGAATGATTTAAAGAAAATACACCAAATAAAAAGAAAATAATAAAAAAAAGGAACTCTCACCTCTTAGTTTTCTCCGTTTACTTCCTAGCCCTTCATTTAAACCCCCGATGAATCTACAAGATTTTTATTTTTAATTATTTTTATTTTGTTTAATTATAATAAAATTATACCTGACTGAGTGGTTTTGAGGGGGTCTGTTCAAAATTTTTTCAATGTGTGAATCATTTTTATTATCAATACTGGAACTACTGCTCAGCACACCTGGAATAATACAAATACATCTTACTCAACAAAAAAAAAATAATGCCAACAGACAGTGCAATATTTTCCAGGTTGTACAATATATTTTCAACTTTTCGTCAATCATGCAATGTATTGCACAAACTTTCAATATCGTCTACACACGATCAATTAAATTGCACAACCCAAAATATTGTGCAATAATATTGATCGTCTATGTGCTGCTTTAGGGTTGGGTTAGGAGGTCACAAGGCCACGGTCTTTTTAGGTGGCATTGAGGATTGTTAAGCGGCCCATAGACGTCCAATATTATTGTACAATATAGATTGCACAATAATTTGATGGTTGCCCCTTAACGTTCAATAATATTGTACAAAATTTTGTTTGTGCAATGAACTTGAATAGTTTGAAGGCGATATTGAAGTTTGTGCAATATTTTCCAATTGTTAATACTTCACAAACTGACTGATATTGCGCAATAATGCCAACAGACGGGGGAATATTTTCCAGGTTGTACAATATATTTTTAACTTTTTGTCAATCATGCAATGTATTGCACAAACTTTCAATATCGTCTACGCATGATCAATTAAATTGCCCAACCCAAAATATTGTGCAATAATACTGATCATCTATGGGCCACTTTAGGATAGAATTTTGAAGAGAGAGCATGAGCTGGTTGATTGGTGTGGGAGGAGAGCTTGGAGTGTAAATTATGAAATCGTTTTTGGATCGTATCTGTCACAAATGGGATGACTAGGTCTTTGTGGATGGTTTGGTTGATGATTAAGCTGCAAGGAGCGGCACTGAAGGCACAGACGGTTTGGTTGGTGACATAGAAGGAAGGGTCGAGGATGTGATGGAGGACTTGAAGAATTGGATTCTTTGGATGTTGGATGACTCATCTCCTTAGTCCAAATTGGTCTAATTAGTGTCTTGTATATTGTTAGTTTGTAGTGTGCACTTGATGTGGATTTGGGCTCAAGCAGGTGTCTGAGTTGTCAATATCTTCAGTTCAGGTCTTGTCTTTTTGTGTTATATGTATGTTGCATGTATGTCTGCTGTCTAAGTAGAACCAAAGGTAGCGGATTTGGGTACTGATGGGCAGATCCTCTTGCAAGTGTAAATGTCATTAGCCAGCTTTTTTGTTCATTCAGTTTGATGTGCCACCGAGTGCACAAGTTGGTAATGAGGTTTAGGTGGTCTTGGCTTGCTGCAAAGATAGGGACAGGATGTGAGAAGAGGACATGTACATCCTCATATATGTATGTTCCACGAAGACCATGATGTGGGTGTTTGGGTGGGTAGGTATGTTATTGATGTAGACTGGGATGAGGATTGGTCTTTGGATTCTCCCTTGAGGAAGACTGGTTTTGGTGACTTAAAAACTTTGTTTCAATGTTTGAAAACTTCTGAGCCAACTCTTAAACCAGCAAACCAAGAGGAAGGACTTCAGGTTAAGGTAGAAGGTGTGGGGTGGAATACTTTTTAATTTGTAAAGGAGACCGCAGTGCCACACTCTTTCAAATGCCTTTGTAACATCTAGACAAACTGCTGAACAGTAATACATATTTTCTAAGGGAGAGGATATTGTGTTGACTACTCTTAACCCCTGCTAGACAGTAGGGTGGAGGGATCTAAAACCAAATTGATAGACAGGGATGATTTTTATGAGAGTTGGATATGAGGATTATTCTTTTGAGCAGGAGGCTGTTCAAAGATTTTAGCAAAGATTGGGGCTTGTCAGTCTGATTAAAAAAATTACAAAAAGATTTCAAAATATAATGCAAGAAATAATAGTAAACAAAATATGAACGATATTAACATACTTGAACATAAATTAAGGAGGAAGAGGTAAAAAGGAAAATTATAAAAGAGAGAAGAAAAAGAGAATAGCAACAAGATCATGTTGAGTTAGTTTGATAAATCAAGGATTGTTTGAAAAAAGTTAAAAGCTTCAGTCCTGAAATTATTTTTTTTAGTTTATTTTTTTTGTTTGACAGGGGCATCCGATAGCTTGGTCATTTCAGCCCCAATGCACATACTGCTGCCCACTTGATATACAATCACACCAATACATACATTCATATCTATATACGTTGATCTTACTCATACCGTTTGGTAGATGGAGTACTCGATATTCCTCCCTCTACCTGTTCACTACAATAAACTAATTTAATTCGGGGTCGAGGGGTACTTTAACAGTTTTCTGCTGTAGATCCAAGTCACGCATGCAACATGAGGTCCGATGGAGATGCTACTTCACCAAGAGCCCCTTCCTATTCACATCAATAAATACATTCACTCATACAAGACACAGAAAGACAAAACACATAACTTAAATTCTGTATACAATAGAAAATCCCCTTAAAAACCGGAATAGGGGACCCTAAAATATACTGCTGTGTCCGAGAACCCTTTTTAAATCTCGTGGCATGCCTACTCGCACCCTGTAGGGAGCCTAGGCACGACAAGCTTCGACTATGTGGGACACCTCGAGCAACCGTTCTCTGCAATTGTGCAATTATTAAAAAGTATTTTAATTTCTTTTAAGTAGAAGTGTGATTAAGTGAAAAAGAATAGTACTGCAAAAATGGTAAAATAAGAGTTTTGACTAGTCTAAGTTTTAGTGTCGGAGAGATAAATTTATGATATTTCCAAATTGAATTTGAAGTCCCATTCACCCTTCTAACAACAAAGCCTAAACAATCATCCCAAGATAATCTGGTATTAAAAGTCAAGTTTTTACCTGGGGTTGGAGAAGGGGATTAAAGAGCCAATGTAGAACTGCATTTTGAAATTTCAATTTTTATGAGAACAACAACAAATTTTATAACTTAACATTTAAATTTTTATCATGAATTTAAATGAATGCATCATGAATAAGTAGTGTTCTTTTAAATCAAAATTCGAAAATCGACTACATTTCCAGAATACGAAATGAGTTGTGCTTGATTAAAAAAAGGCCTATCTTTGGTACATTTCATCGGATAAAATAGTAAAATTAAATATGATTAATTCAACTGAAGTTCTTTTGGCCAGGGTCTGAGAAGTCGAAGTGGTTAATTTTATTCTTCAGAAAACAAAAGGGAAAAAACTTTACATAACACTGAATACATTAAATGCTAGCTGTCATCCACTTAAGTGTTTTTAAAAGGACTTTCAAATGATAACAACGAAAAGGACTCCAATTAGGTGACAAATTCAAAAGGATATGAGTATGCGTGGGATTAGATTTATTGGATCTTTCTTGGAATCTCACTTTGTTTCGTTCATTCAATAGAATTCATCAATCAAAATCATAGTGACAAAATTAACAGTTAATTATTTTAAATACTTTAAAAAAAAGAAAAACCAGATAACGGGTGTGTAAAAGATTGTGTGTTTTGAGTTTAGACTATCCTTCAAAGAGTCCTGATGCCGTTTTCTCTTTTTTTCAGCTATGGCACGATGTTGAGAAGGTCGGTTTTCGGCTGACTGTCGAATCGTGGCACAAACCCTTCAAATACCAAAAGAAAACAAAGTTTGCTCTTGTAAATTTTGCCCTGTCATATGTAAACAAAAATACACCAAACCGTTATCTCCACGTGCCTGGTTCAACACTATTACACGCGATTTTACAGTAGTTACATTATACAGTGTATTCGAGTACTCAACTTTGTGTAACTTTGCCAGTTGATTCTACATTCAAAATGGAACCAAAAAATCCTATTTAACTAAGATCCGAATCTCAACAGTTTCGGAATTAATCCCCTTTTCCTGATTTTTTTAGATTTCACGACCTTGTTTCAAATAAACAATAATAAATCGAAAACTAAAAGGTTTTAGACAAATCCGTTGATACCAGTGAAAACTTCGTTAAATTTCCAATCAGATGTGATCAATAATAAATTTGTAAACATTGGTGACAAGAGGTTTAGTACACAGACATCGAAAAACACATATATTTTTTTAATTTAAAACTTACTATGGAAATTCTAAACTACTATTTCCAAACCTAGAGACCAGCAAATTTCAGAAAACGTTCTCCATTTAATATCCTTTTCAGTGGTTTAATTTATTTTTCAATTACTTTTTTCAAAGATGAAAAAGTGATGGAGGAAAAGAAAAAACCGAGGTTGACGGATTGGCAAGGTGGAAAGATTTTCCAATTAAAAGGTTTTAGACAAATCCGTTGATACCAGTGAAAACNTTTTTTTAATTGAAAAATTTACTACGGTGATTCTAAACGACTATTTCCTGACCTAGAGACCAGCCAATTTCAGAAAACGTACTCTATTTATCATACTTTTTAGTGATGTAATTTTTTTTAAATTACTTTTTTCAAAGGTGAAGAAATTGATGGAGGAAAGGAAAAAACCGTGTTGACGGATTGATAAGGTGGAAGGATTAATAATAATAAGAAAGAAAAAAACTTTAGGAATTTTCAATGAATGTACTAAAGACGTTCTGAATCCTTTGAAACTTTTATTCCAGGGAATAATAATACAACAATCCTACATTCAAAGTTGAAGGGGTGTCGGTGTGTCTTACTTTATTGCGGGTTTCGCTATTTGGCTATATATAGAGAGCGTGTAGGAATGATACCCGCTATGACACCCATGCTAGAGCCCGAGTTTTCCCCTGTTCAAATTTTTGGAGGAAAAATATTGTTTTATTACGTAAAGCACTGATAATTACCTAGGATTCATTTATTAGAGTGAATGTGTTGTGCGAGAATAGTTCATTGGATTACTCACTATTACACCAAGATGGATTCCACCATACCAAGTAGGTTTGTTATGTAGTACGTGTAAGATTGATGGAGGAATATGGATAACTACACTTCAGATAGAAACTATGTTAAATTTAGCTCATAATGTACATATCCTCTAATGTCTTAAAATTGTACCCGCCAAGAAAAAGAGATAGTGTTGAAATTGAGTGTTAGGTTGCGAGTCAGTGAACTCATGCTGAACCGGCTTATTGGGTCCGTCTTCACTCGCGGGTTTGTTGAACGGCTCAGACGCGTTTCGACATTG